TTTGGGTATATGTGAAAGTGTGTAAGGTACTGCATGCCTGTGTACATCTGCCAAATATGTCTTGACGTGTCTAAATATGTATGTATGTGTGTCAGTAGGTTTGTCTGAACCCATGCCTCAGCATGGCAATAAGCACATGTCTGTCAGAGTTTAACAATCACATCAAAATGAGTGACAGTGCATGTCAATTTATTTGTGAGTGAACAAGTCTTGGCTCTGCAATGCATCTAAAAGGTTGTCAATATGTATATGCATTAATAGGGAGTGATGTGCATGTTTGTGGGGCTAAAGAGTATCTTTGTTTGTAACTGCATCTGACTGATGTCCCTGGGACAACATGTATGACAGTAAGCTGTGTGAGGGTATACTGTGAGTGTTTGCAGGGATCTGTGAGTGAGGTTGTATGTGGAAATGAGAAAGAGAAAGAGAGATAAGAGACCCACTCACCAGCATCACTCGGACAGAGTCAGCCATAAGCTCCACATAGGGCTTCAGGATGTCATAGTGGAAGGCTGGAGTCAGCATCCGCCGGTGTTGGAACCATGTCTGCCCATTCAGCAGAAGCAAACCACGCCCTGGGTCAGAGATGAGTGCATGTATATATGCTGGGAAGACAAGATCAGAAGGTCTACCACAGACAATTTGGGAGGGAGCATGGTTATTCTGGGGAGAGAAACCCATCTGAAAACACATCATATGCAAAGGCTGGGAAACTTGTCACATTTCAGAAACATGAGTTTCCATTTTGGCTTGTAAGTAGGATCTGATAGCTATGATAGCTGTGAGATAAAAAGTGGAAGTGTTAATTAGGGGGCAGATCTTAAATATGTGTTCAGCTGTGACATTTTGAGAGAACTGTGAATAGATGTGGAAGGATGAGAGCTGTTGGAGAGTTCCAATCACCAAGAAGATGGGGTCAAGGTCTGAGGACAGAAAGAGATATGGGGCTTGAATCACAGATGGGGGTGGTAACAGTGGTATCTGGACACCTGTTGTTTTCTGTGAGCCAAAGATATCTCCTGTGACAAACCTACCTGATGGGTTGAATGCAGTCATTTTTTAGATATACATACCAATCCATGGTTCCATGAATCTGTAGGTATCTCTTAACTTTGGGTCTGAAAGGGAAGGAAGGGCATAAGGATGTGAGTGAGAAGGATCAGATAAGGCATCCCTCTGGAGACAGTTGTGTTCCAGACTATCAGCTGCCATCATTCCATGATGATTGTCAGCTGTAAATCTATTATAAGTGACCTTTCAGTTGCCTCCCATCCTCTACTATCTCTTTCCCACTAATCAGTGTGGGCTCAGAGAGTCAGTCTCAGAGTACTTTAAACAGAAATTCACAAGAGTAGAATGGGGGACTAGCTAGAAACATAGGTAATGTCCTAACTACCAACCAGTAAGTCGGAAGCCTTGTGGATTTTCTAGGATTTATAGTGGCTTTGCTATGCCATGTTCTACAAGATTTACCAGAGCAACCCCAGTGTGGATAGAAAATCTGTGTTTGAGATATGGGGCAATGTACATAACAGAATACTTCAATTTGGTGGAAGGAAGGAAAGGTGGGGGAGAGAGAAGGATAAGAGGAGGCTAAGAACAGCAGAGAGAGAGAGAGAGAGAGAGAAGAGGATAGAGAGTACAAGAGAGAAAAGAAAAGGGAGAGAGAGTGAGAGACAGAGACTAGAAAAGAATAGAATGAAGGAAGAAAGGAAGGAAGGCAGTAAAGGGAAGAAGGAAGAAAGAATGGATAGAAAGTAATTGAAGGAAGGAAAGAGATGGAAGGAAGTACAGAAATGGAAGGAAGGAAATTCTGTCAAAACAGATGTTTTAAATATCCAAAACTAAGAAATAATTGTTGGCCTGAGGTTGGGGGTGAGTTGGGAGAATGATTGGTAAAGTGTTTACTTATAGTTGACCTCAGCCTCTTGGAATTTTAGAGAACAAGTGGCATGAACTCAAAAGGAAGGAGCTTCTCCAGCTGGATGTTGAGTATTGCTCTCACCTGATCTCCCTAGAATCACCTTCATGTAGTCAGGATCATAAACATGGAACATAATTGTGTCTCCCCACAACCAGCGAGCACAGGCACATGGGAATTTCTGAACCCATGTCAAGAAATGTTGCAGCTCTGTGTCCCTTTGAAACTGGAATAGAAAAAGAGAAAAATCAATTAAAACATTTTTTTAGGTCCAGTACTTAGAGTAGGGATGAAAGAACAGCTCCTTGAAGGGTAGTTCTGGATCTACCAGCAGAGATTAGAGGGTTGGACTTGTTTCTGATGTCCTGATCTCTGATCCAGACTCTTGTTGTTGATGCAGGACTTGCCCTAAGGCAAGATTTGTGCCCTTGTTGGGCTGAGCTTTGGGCCCTCACTTAGAAATGGTGCCAGAAACTACACATAATAGGCATTAGATAAAGGTTGTTCAGGAACTGACTCCACAGTGTATAAATCCTTTTCTCAGGCTGACATTATGTAATCCTCACAGAATATCAGGGATAGGGTTGTTGTTGTTGTTGTTGTTATGTGCCGTCGAGTCAGCCCTGACTCATAGCGACCCCTCCTTGGGTTTCCGAGGCAGTATCACCACGGAAGTAGGGATAGGGTAGGGATTATTATTCTATCCTATTTTACAGAAGGAGCTCTGGTAGCATAGTGCCTAAGGCACTTGACTGCTAACCAGAA